TAATTTGATCGTTAGAGACCACAAGGTAAATTTAAAAAAGGTCCAGAAGAGTTGCAAGGCTCATGGCAATTAAGATAATATAGAAAGCAGAAAATGATAGGTAAATAAATATAGGTACAGTGTGTAAAAGCCAAATGGAATAAATTCATTGTTTAGGTTACTGTACATATTTATAAAAAATCCCACGTCAATTTAAAAAAAAACACGTCAAATTTAAATTATAACTTGATATTCTTTAACGTGAAAATGCAACCCCTACCTTCAACCCCCTTAGAATGACAGGTACAACCCCCAATTTTTAAAATAGGAAGTATAGGCTTCTGATATATTGTTTGAAAGGTCTTTTCATTCTCCATTCAAAAATGTTGTCACTTTCAAGTTTATTAAGATTAATTAAGATAAAATAAATTAAAATTATGTGGTTACCGAAATTCGCTAAACTATACTCAAAACTTATTTCCCGTTTAGGTCTTGATAATGAGAAAGTGAACAAAAACCATAGCAATGTGGTTTTTAGATAGTAACCATTAAAAAACTTTAAAAATTTCCGTGGCAACGTTATTTTAACACGCATTAGTAAATTGTTTTATTTAAGTTGTCAGTATTTTAATTTAAGTAAAAAGTTCGTTCAATTCAATTCTGAAAAATGGTTAGATTAACGGAAATGCATAAAATAATAGTTTTACAAATGATTGGTTACGGAGAGAGATAACACCCGAACACAACAGGAAGTAACTCGCCTATTTCATGAGAAATTTCCTAATTTACCGCCTATATCCCAAGGAACAATAAGTAAAATAAAGAAGCAGTTTCGCGAGTTTGGTCATGTAAGGCAGATAAAAAAAGCAGCTGCCAATGCACTGAGTGATGAACTCAAATCAGATGTGTTGCTTGAGTTTCAGGAAAATTCACATACATCGAGTAGACAGGCATCCACTACGTTCAATGCTAGCCATACATCGATAGTAAACATATTAAAAGAAAATAAATTGCATCCCTATAAGATGATACCTACTCAGGAGCTCATGGAAGACGATTTTGATAGAACTTTTTTTTGTGAGCAAATGAGGACATGTTGGATAACAATATTATCCAATTAGAAGAGTTATGTTTTTTGATGAGTGTACTTTTTACTTAACGGTCATGTTAATCGGCAAAATTGCCGCTACTGGACCACGGAAAATCCTCACTGGATGAGAGAAGAACACACTCAATACCCTCAAAAGGTTAATGTTTGGGCAGGGATTGTAGGAAACAATATCATTGGTCCCTTTTTTATTGAGGGCAACTTGAATGGCAATAATTATTTGGCACTACTTCAAAATGATGTCATTCCAACGTTGGCAAATTTATATTCTGATCCAGGAAACCTTCAAGTTCCAGCGAATTTGATATGGTTTCAGCAGGATGGAGCACCACCACATTACCAACTTAATGTCCGGCAGTACCTCGATACAATATTTCCCAATCGGTGGATAGGTGGAATGTAAGATTGAGAAAACCATTAATGAAAAGATCTAGACCACAAATATGCATTGATAAGTTAAGAGAACCAAATACATACCAAGAAACTCAAAACAAAATAAATCAGAGTATCCAAGAAATAAAACAACAAAATAAGAACACTACAGATATTGACACAAAGTGGAAGAATATAAAGAACGCAATCGAGACTGTGGGATGGAAAACTTTAACATTTACAAAAGCTGCCAAACAAGAATGGATGACATAAGAAATTCTCGAAAAATGGACGAAAGAAGAACACATAAAAACAAAGATAAAATTAAATATCAAGAAATTAATAAACAAATAAAACAGAAAATAATACAAGCTAAGGAAACATGGATGTCCATTAAATGTCAAGAAATCGAGGAATGTGAGGCAAGGTATGACACTTTCAACACCCATAAGAAGGTTAAAGAAATGATTTCAGGAAATCGTAACAAACCAATCGGGATATTAAAAAATGCAGATGGTACCACTATAACTGAAACGCAAGACAAACTACGTAGATGGAAAGAATACATTGAACAACTATTTTACGATCAAAAAGTAGAACAATTATTAGAAGTTAACGGAGAAACCACGGGACCAGAAATAATGAAAGAGGAAGTTATGTATGCTATAAAACACAAAAGGCAGAAAAGCTCCAAGACCCGATGAAATACCAATTGAACTATTGAAGATAATTAATGAAGATAATATTGATGTCTTGGTAGACCTTTTTAACTCCATATACAAGACGGGACACATACCCAAAGAGTGGCTTCTCTCAACTTTTGTGGCGATTCCAAAAATCACAAATGCTAAAGATTGCAATGACTATCGAACAATTGCGTTAATGAGCCACACATTGAAAAGCTTCCTTAAAATCATACATAACAGAATCCACATGAAATTAGAACAAGAAATAAGTGATTCACAGATGGGTTTCAGAAAGGGTCTAGGAACTAGAGAAGCATTATTTGGAGTCCATGTTCTGACACAACGATGCCTGGATATGAATCAGGACATATATGCTTGCTTTATAGATTTCAAGAAAGCTTTTGATAGAGTTCAACATGAGAAGCTTTTAAGTATTCTTAAGACTAAAAACATTGATAGTAGAGATCTACAAATTATATCGAATCTGTATCAAAACCAGAAAGCAAGAGTAAGAGTCGAAGGAGAACTGACAGAGGAAGTAAGTATACTTAGAGGAGTTCGACAAGGGTGTATCCTTTCACCACTCTTATTCAACGTCTACAGTGAAGTGATTTTTCAAGAGGCTTTATTGGATATCGTGGAAGGTATTTATGTCAACGGAAATAGCATTAATAATATTAGATATGCCGACGATACTGTCATATTTGCAAGTGACATGGAAGATCTACAGTACATAATACAACATGTATACAATGCATGTGAAAGTTACGGACTGCAAATGAATCTCAAGAAAACGAAATCAATGATATTCTCAAAAAAACCACAAAATGTAAATAACCTGATCATCAATAATACAACGATAGAAAGAGTAAAAACATATAAATATTTAGGAACGTGGCTAACCGAAGATGGAGATCAAGTAAAGGAGATCAGATCTAGAATAGAAATGGCAAGAAACACGTTCATAAAATTGAAGAAATTACTTTGCAACCGTAACCTTAATCTAGAGATTCGCACAAGAATGCTACGTTGTTACGTCTTCTCTACTTTCCTATATGGCATGGAAGCGTGGACAATAAAGCAGTCTGAAATCAAAAAATTAAACTCCTTTGAGATGTGGTGCTACAGGAGAATGCATAAAATATCGTGGATTGAAAAAGTAACTAATATAGAGGTGTTACAAAGAATGAAGAAAGAATGTGAAGTCATAAAAACTGTTAAAATTAGAAAGATTCAATATCTGGGACATTTAATGAGGGGTGAGAAGTACGTATTACTGAGGTTGATTATGCAAGGGAAGATACAAGGGAAGAGAAACCCAGGACGACGCAAAATGTCCTGGCTAAGAAATTTGAGAGAGTGGTTCGGCTGCAGCTCATTAGAATTATTCAGAAATGCGGCCAACAAAGTTAAAATAGCGATGATGATTTCCAACCTCCGCTAGGAGAAGGAACCCGAAGAAGAAGAAGAAGGATAGGGAGGCGAGGATCGATTGAATGGCCAGCGCGATCACCTGATCTTACATTATTAGATTTCTTTTTATGGGGATATGTGAAGAGCCATGTGTACAAAACTAAACCTTCTGATTTAAATGACTTAAAAGAACGAATAAAGCTTGCGATTAGGTCGATAACGCCTGTTATGTTAAATAATGTTAGAAAACAGTTTTATTTGAGATTAGGATGTTGCCAAGACGTTCGCGGTGAACATTTTGAACATATACTTCATGAAAAGACCTTTCAAACGATATATCACAAGCCTATACTTCCTATTTTAAAAATTGGGGGTTGTACCTTTCATTCTAAGGGGGTTGAAGGTAGGGGTTGCATTTTCACGTTAAAGAATGTCAAGTTATAATTTAAATTTGAAGTGTTTCGGGATTTTTTATAAATATGTACAGTAACCTAAATAATGAATTTATTCCATTTGGCTTTTACACACTGTATGAGTACGATATGGTAAAGAAAAGAATACTAAAACAAATTAAATTGTCTAAAAAAGAAGAATAATTTTCTGTGTAAATAACTAGGAAAATTTTTAAAAGAGTGGTTTTGATTATGCTTGTATACTCAAACAACTGAATAGTTTTTAATCATTGTAGAATATTTTTGAAGTTTCCGATCGAAATGATAAATAAGGTGTATTCTAACAGTTTTGTTTTTAATTTTAAGAAAAGAAAAGGTAATATATTTTTAAAATTTTGCGAACATTTTGAGCTACCTATGTATATTTAATACTATCCTTATCCTTAAACTGTAACCGTTTAAATAAAGCTTATAAATGTATAAATACAAGAATAAAAGAGCTGTTATGAATCATAATATTAACGTAGTTATTGTTGCGATCGTTTTCTGTTTGATAATAATTTTACGTTTTATGTATCAACAAAAACAAACACTATACCTCTCCTCAAATGTTTGTCGGTTGCCGGGTCGCAACTCGCGATCGCGAGTTGCGTGTGTATTTCCTTCGAACCGACGAGCGAGAATCGGTGAGTGCCGGGTCGAGGGCCGGCGTGTTCCATCGCGGCCGCGGTCGCCCATTGGCTCGAACAGCACCTGCTCGGATTGGCACGGTCGTGGAGGGGCGCCATTACTCTCTAGTACCGCGGATAAGGCATAGAGGGCTATAGACTGAACATACATGGGTCATAAAGGATTCGAAGAAGTAGAGGAGAAGGACGCGTAACAAATACTCTGCAATAGGGTTAAACGACGTTGTTGATATTAGTCTAAGTGCCCGGTCGTAAACGTAAAGCGTGTGCCGTCGTTTCAGACTATGAGATATAGTGCGCGTCGGTGTAGTGATTGGAGCCTTGCACGACAGCAATGAGTTCCAAATTTATCATTGATAGTATGTTACCTAAGTACCATCAACAATTCCATCATCAACAATTGTTTCAAAGTCCAGTCAGCACTTCCTCCATCGAAGCCAGTTTAGCGTCCGTCGTCAACTACAGTTCTTCAGGCTCACCGAGCGGTTCTTCTCCTCAACATTCAAATAGTAGCGCTTCGTCGACTTCACCCGCCTCCAGAATGTACCCTTACGTATCAGCAGCGACGGCAGCAGCCCATCACCACCATCAGCAACAAGCGGTGGCCGCAGCAGCCTTCGGAGCCGCTGCCGCTTCGGGAAGCATGGTTCCCGGCGGATTCCCTTCAAGTGCAAGCACCGCCGCTTTGGCAGCGGCCGCAGCAGTCGATGCTGCCGCCGACAAATCCTGCAGATACACAGCCGGCTTAGCTGGCAATGTCGGCCCTACAGATTCCATGGTAAATTACACATTGGGCCACCACCATCAAAACGGGGCTGCAGTTTCGGCGGCTAGTTCTGTTAGTGCAGCATCCGCCTCCATGGCAGTGGCGGCACAATTCTACCATCAGGCAGCTTCTGCAGTTGTAGATCCATTGACTTCTTGTTCACAGACCACCGCTCCCGGCGGGCAGCCCATTCCAGATATTCCCAGATATCCTTGGATGTCAATCACAGGTAACTTTAGAAATTACATAATTCCTTTATCAGTATGTCGTTAATTGCGAGTGATACGCCATTAAATAAACGGTTATTACCCTATTATCAAAACACAGACGCGTTTATTGCTGAATAATAATTTATAATTGTTAATTATCAATTAATGTTGTTTAATGGCGTTGCGCTCGAGTTAATTAATTTATATTTGGGTCATAATAGCGTTATTTTGATTTTAGCTATCAACAACTTTTGTTTTTCCATTCCATAATCATTAAACATATTTTTTCTGCGACGCATGCGTATTGTTTAATTTTTTCTATATAAGTATGTCATGCGGCCTTGCCGACATATGGCATTATGATGTTTTTTTTATCTCATGTCTAGAAATATTTTGGTAATTATCAGTCGCATTTGGCATTTGTCTTACTATGTTGTGTCTACTAAATGTTTTATTGCTTTAATTATTGTCTGTCATAGACAGAATCATCTAACTTTGTTTCGTTGCTTACAGCAAACTAATATTAAATGATACTGATATGTGTATCTATAATCGAGTATCCTTATATAAGGTATATTTTAATATATTCTATTATGTTAGTATTATATCAGAACCTTAAAATCTCTCAATTTTAAATAATTTATCCTTCTAGCACTACAACGCTTCAGAATTTAATGTCTATAAATATCTTTGGTTTATAATTGATTAGTTTGAAAGTGTTTATAGATATATAACACTTGTTAAAAGGACATTACCGAAGAACAACTGTCGTTAACATATTTATTACAAAAACAGGTGATCTTCCTTATTTTATTCCTAGTCCTTTTGAATCTTATAGGTGTAGAATTTTATTCTTGTTTTTTCAATACGACTCATTTTATTAATTAGCTTTTTCTCCCTAAATCTCATTTATAATATCTCAGCTCTTACCTACCCACTTCCTTTCATGTTTCTTCTTGTTGTCTAACTAATTTTCGTCTACGAATTTCTTGTGCGTACGAACTTCTGGCTATAAGTTGGTACTTACTTTTGTCTAATTTAATTAATTCACAGTTTGTCTATCTGTATTCCTAATTTCGTCATTCCTTCGTTGACTATTCTGTTTTGATTGCTCCCTTAGAGGTTTATTTTGTTTTCATTGCTTTTCTTCAGCTTAATTTCTTTTGCCGTCGGGATACTTACCTACAGAATAAAGAATAATTACGAATAAAGCAACAAATATTGGTATCAAACTCGCAAAACTATAATTTTTGATCGTATAAACTCATTATGTTACCTAAATTTTTGCCGTCGGGAAACTGTATGTTCTTAGTTATTATTTTCTACTAATATTTCAACACTTTTATTGCAATTATTTTAGTTCACATCAATTCAACGATAAAATCTCATACCTTGATTTTTATTTTTTTAATAGTACCACATACTACGGTTTTTTTTATCTATTTCAATGGGTAAGAACAATTTCAAATTAATAACAGAAAGGTGATTTATATGATTTTTAATTATTCTTATATGGTTGTACTCTCTTTGTTTTTGATATATACAATTTTTACTTGGAAATTAGAATCGGAAATCCGCTATAATGCCTTGGTCAAAAGTAAACAAAAGTTACATATTAATAAACAATATTAGTTACTTGCGCCAATTGTTACATGATTTGTTAAATAATTGATACCTCACTATATCAAAAGCCTTCTTGTAATCAATAAAAACCTCTTTCGGAAATATTGTTAAATTAGCCATTTTTATGTTCAAATGTATCAATAATGTCTTCCTTACTCTAAATTGTCAATCAACTCACTAAATATTTTCACACAATATTCATTATCCGCTTACGCTTAAAATGTGAAGATGCTTTCTTCTGTTTCAGTTTCAGTGCATTTTTTATTGTTGACAGCTGCACAATAGGTGTTTCCACTCTAGACCAGTTAAACCATACACTTAGATTTTTAAGCCATGAAATTCTGCATCTTCCGGATCCTCTTCTCCAATCTATCTTGATTTGTAATACCAATTGAATTCAAATATAAAGAAACAATTTTCTCTACTTCACTTTACACCTAGGTGCCTATAGTTTGTCCTTCGGCAAAATATGTCAGATATATCCGAGAACAAACTTTTAAACAGGATCGCTATTCCTTTCTAATTATTAAATGGTGCTCCCGGTGGAACTAACTATAAAAAATTGTCGTATTCAACTCTTTTGTAATTTTTCTATATTTTCTATATAATAGATATAATCTATACTATTATAAAGATTTGTATAAAAGAATTCGAAAAACTAGCAAAGATAAACATGAAACAAAAAACATTTACAAGTAAGCAATTATCAATACTCGACAAACATGCAATTGTCTATGTTAGAGGTTGTATGCACATAACAAGTAATTAATTATTTCATGCAATCAAAAATAGGGTTGAAATTGCACATAGAGCAATTATACTATACATACAAGTGTTATTTATAAATGCGACAAAATTTAAAGGTAAACCAACTTAAAGTACACGTAAAACTTTTATCACGTGTATCTTTGACACCTACGTAGTAGAATAAATGGTTAAAAGCGTACAAATATAATAAAACTAAGGATGGTAGTGTAAAAAGTAATTAATATAAAACTAGTATATGAGTCGACATTCGAAAATATGACAAAATAGACAAAATAATAGAGAAGTAGAACTAAATAATTTTAGATAATCAAGGCAGGATTATTAGGATGTACATAACAATAAAATACTTGACTATATAAAGAAAACAAAATATCGTCGGCTTACAAGCGAAACACACTAAGTCAAAAAATATAGTTTTGAGATAATCGCGTTTTAATTTTTTTTTAAAACAATTTGATCAATTTTTACATTTAAAACTTTTATTTGTCGTTTTGTAATTATACGAAAGTTTTCATAAAGTATCAATAATGATTACTGACGAGGAGAAGTAAATTATATATTACCAAATTATTAATTTTTGTTTAATTTTCGATTTGAATACGTTGACTTAATGTTTTTTACCTGTAGCATTTAATTTAGTGTGTTTTACTTGTTTAATTTTGCTATGAAAGTAGGACTTACGTTTATTTTTTTATTTACTTACTGTCATACGATTATTGCAGGCTTCATTTACATTGTAAATAATACAATAATTTTTGCTTATATAAGTTTTTACTTTTTTCATGTATATTTTCACAAAACAAGAACATTATTAAAAAAAACAGGTATAACAAAACAAAACGTGTATAACAAAAAAATATGCTTCTAATTTTTAAAGTTTTCTTCGTCAGAGTCCTTTTCAGCTGACTCCGCTGTTTGGTCTCGAACTGAAGAGGAACTTGGTAGATTTTTGAACCAGGTATGGAGCGCTTGCGGAACTATATTTTTTTTACAGAGCTTTATCAAATCTTTTTTCTAAATGAATTAATGTACATTCCTAGGTAAGTACCAATTTCACAGCTTCCACGCTTACCATTGACTTCGGTCCAAAAATAACAGAATGCCTCATTTGGTGGAGCAGATTTCTAAATTGTAAAATTATAAAGGTTCAGCTTTCTAATATAATACAAGAGACTTACTTGCGATGACGGAATTTGTAAAACGTTGTGCATATCACATGTAATTGATTTAAATTTTTTATTCTTTTTCGATGCTTCTTTGTCTGAATTTTTTTCTTTCATTGCAGCCTCTTTTCTGTCTAAATGACTCCTATAATTAAGCTCCATCTCTTCTTTTTCTTGTTGCGATGCTTTTGTGTATTCCTTACAGGTCAAACATTGGTCTTTCTTAGGTTTGAAAAATGATATATTAAATTCCTTGCAAAAGATTCGCCTATAGGTTATCTGACTTAAGCTTGGCAAATTGTCCTCTTTACACTTTTTAACGAACAGGTCGTGCATTTTTTTAATATTAAGATTGCAATCTAAAAATAAGTCTTTTCGAAGACTTTCTAGTGTAGTGACTTTCTGTAACAGGAAAGCTTTCAATGTGTTTTTTTGCTCTTATTCTTGCTTCCACTAAAGTTTTATTGCCAGGAATCCTACGGCCCCTTCTGTCTATTCCACTATATTCGCCGCTTTCATTTTGCCCTTTAAAGGCATTAATTATAGGCCTATTAGAAATAGAAAATAGAAAATGTTTTACAAAAAAATTTCTGACACACTTGACTTTTCTTTCCCATATTTGTGAAAAAATAGGATTTTGCGTTGGATCGCATTTTGCTATTTTCTCCTTTTCTAGGCCTGCGACTTTTTACTTCATAACAAAGCACATTCAATAATATAAAATCTTTCTGTCTTTGAAATGACAACATCGCATAAGTTTGACATAGCAACTTCCGGTTCTCTTCAGAAAAGTTGATAGTCTTGGGATGTTGACCACACAGATGGTCTTGGGGTATTTCATCGGCTTCTTTTAGGTCCTACTTGACTATTTTCATTTGAATTTGTTTTTTCCTCGTCTGCTGTAGAGTTTCCTTCGCTGGTATCTAAATTATCACTTTCATTACCTGAAGGAATATAGTCGCTATCCTCCATACATTCATCAGAATCCTGGTCACTTATTTGAGGAGGACCCGACTGAATATCTTGACAAAAATTATCAGAATTTAGGCTCACGTCTTTGTTTATTGCTGTAGGTAGTTGGACACAAAATTTTATTTATCTTACAGAAATTAATTAATAAATACACACAAAATTCTAAACTGTTAACGACCTAATCACGCAAAATACTGGAATAAACCTGACAAAACCTATGCAATATACCCAAACAAATAATTAATTTTTTTCATGATTGGACAAGTTGCTCTGCGTAAGTCAGTCGGTAGGTTCATTCGTAGTCAAGTGAAATACATTAAGTCACTTAGTGTGTTTTGCCTGAATCATATATAGTTTTTGAGACTTAGTGAGAAACATAATAATTATAAAAATAACCGTTTTTGTTATTGTATGACTTAGTGAGTTTAACCAGTCTAAAGAGTAAAAAAAATACAATAAAATGCTGCAAATAACTCAAAAGTAAAAAAAATTGACTTAGTGTGTTTCGCTTGTAAGCCGACGATATTCAAAACTGTTTCAATATAAAATGTTAAACTTTTGCGTGGAATAGGTGCTTTTTATTATTCTCCATTGGTTCTGGGGTCTTTATTACTAAGTTCTTGTACCTAGTACTGGCCAGCTAGATTGTGAACATATTGTAAAACTGTAAAAACATAATACACGTGTCTTAAATATAGACATAAAATTATTCGCTAGCTTTTATTTTGATAAAGGCAAAGCGTT